GTTCAGCAGATCTGCAAATAGATCAAATCAACCCATTTGAACTACCCGAACCATCAAATCATCTAGCCGGACTGCGAAATCCATTTGATTTCCAGACATTTCAGCCACCTTCTTCGGGTGAAATAAATACAAATCAGATGAATTATGCAGAGAATACATCTCAAATATCATTGAGAACGGAGTCACATGTGGCTCAGATTAATACTCTAAACCAACCAGGGCTATTAGCTTCACAAACATCACAAATGGCTTCTGTTCCATTCCATAAAGCTCAAATAGCATCAATAAACAACCCAGCCTCTTCCCAGGCTGCTCAACAAGCCATTTCAAGCAATATACATACAAGCAAGTCGAGTTCGACCCCCCATTCAGTTCGACCAGATCTAATAATTTCTTCGTTTTCAAATCCTCAAACATCCAACAAGAAATTTGAACCAAAATCTATCATCTGGGCGGACTCCATTAGCCGAGGTCTGGTTGATCTCAACATATCTGGACGTAAGTAATTCCTTAGCTCTGGTAGCATAATTTCACCTTCAGTTTATTTCTTCTTGGCGGCATTTGCATACATGCCATCTAATTCCTATCTATTTGCATACGTAACACCTAAACTTTACTTTTTTTACATTTATACCATCCAAGTCTTTCGCATCACATGTTCAATACCATTATTTTAAAAGCGAAAAACAGCTTTTCATGCATAATTAAGGTGATATAAGAATTGAGTAGTATGCATATAAAATGTAAATCTTGCATTTTTATTCTTTCTGAACGAACAGCCATTTTCGCTGCAGCCAGGATCAACCCTCTGGCAAACATCGGAATCGACTTCAATGATATCAACCGAAAGGAGAAGAGGAATGAAGCGAAGAGTTCCCAAACTCGATTGTCTTCTTCCTCATCCATGGGAAAAGCCATGGGAGCTGGGTCTGGTCTTGGCCGCGCAGCTACGGGTATGTATGCCCAACCTCAGAACACAGCAATGGAGATGAACCAACCATACATGGGAATGGGGATGGGTGCGAACATCGGCATGACGCACCCATCTTCGGGAATGCCTCGGCAGGGTCCTGCCTGTCGTGGTGCTTACAATCCCATGAATGCCAGAGGAGGCTATGGGCAATATCACCCATATGGACATGGTGGGCATGGTTGAAAACCATGTCATCATATACATTCAATGGCCATTAAATCATATCATATCATACCTTTTCTCATAGCCAAATACACTCCTGACTTAAAATCTTGTGTTTGATCTTTAACTATGCTATAGTAAACTCCCAATTTATAGATTTTTTAGTTGGGAAAAAATTATAAAAAGAAGAGATTATTTTTTTAGTTTAGATAATATATTGCCTGGTGGGTTCCATACTTGTAAATGAAAAAGTAGTGAAGGGGATTGGCCTTCTGTTACCATCTTTTTTGTGGTTAGAGTGGCCAATAGTGTGAGTTTTCTCAATTCATACCTTAGTGGCATTCTATTTATAATTAAAATGGGACATAAATTTTCCTTTTGATTTTTTTTGGGTTTTAGTGTTAATTTTTTCATAATTTTTTCATTGAGGGATTCTCCTTTTGAGTGTAATAAATTGCATTCCATGCAATTAAAAATTTATGTGATGTGCTAAATTTTTTTTAAATTTTATGCTTGCTTCTTTAGAAGTGCTCTTTTTTAGTGCAATAAAATTCCTTCATTGTAATAGAAAAATGATGTGATGTGTTTTATTTTATTTTACTTTTGGTTGGGGCATTTACATAGAATTGAGTGGGTTGTATGTAAATCTTCCTTTTTATATGTATTTTGCATATAGATGTTGGCATCAATTTTGATGTCTCATAGGCAGGTTGTCTGTTTACAGGATACAGGATTATACTTAACTTCCTCCCGTCCAAGGTATCCTATCAAACTTCCTAGTACGTGCCTTGAGCATGAAATTA